GGCTCGATCGCTACTTATAGTCGCCAGGTTGTTCCAGAACATTCCATAGGTAGCTAACCCTAATTTCGTTGGCGGGCCTGGGCGAAACCGTGGATCGAAGACGAAGGGCCGCTGGAAGGCCATGGGCCGAGCCACGGGTCGGGACCGAGCCCATCGCAGCCCAATGGCTTCCTTCCGATCTTCACCTGTACCTCGACTTTCGGTTTCCATTGCATAACAGTTTGGATAAGAAAAGTTTAGAGTTGTGTAAATGGAATTTTTTTTTCTCATTTATGACTTTAGCGTACTGTACTATTGGAGTTAGCTTTAAATGGTTTTTAAAAATTTTAATTAAAAAAAACTATCCTGTCAATTCCATAACTGATATTTTAAATTAAATTATTTGATGAATATTTCAAGATTTTGTTTAAGTAATATTTTATAATAATTTATATGTATAATAATAAAAACAATACATTAACCACAATAATTTATTTAGAGAAAAAAATAAGATTTTTTAAACCAAAATCAAAATCAAAATCAAAATCTAAAGTTTGAAAGTAAGGATGTGTTTGGGAGTGGTCAAATCACTTTTGTTATTGTTAAAATCATTTAAGGCTTCTTTTGATAACGTTATTGTTTATTAAATAATTGTCAAATGCTTAGATTTCTTAAGAAAACTGAAAACGAGAAATAAAAACAAGAACGTCACCAAACGAGCCATTTTCTTTCCATTGATCATGTTTGACAAATTAAAAAATTTATTTTAGAAAAATTAATAAAATCACTTTAAATTGACTTTTAAAGTACCAATTGATGGTGATTTTGAAAAATCAATTATATTTAAATCTCCTTTTTTAAAATCACTCATTCTATTATTTTATTTTGAGTTTTATTCTATTTGAAACTTACAAAAATAGGGGAAAAAAGTTCTCTTCTCTCATTTTCCAATTATAATCCAAGTTGTAAAACAAAAGAATATGTAGTTTTAAAATTTTTGTTCGAAGGTTTTACATTTTTGCTATAAATCCAAAGATGTTATTTAAGAAATTCGAAGAGCATGGTAAATAAATTAGGGGGAAGTGATCATGATTTTAAAAACTATAAAATCAAAAATAAAATATTTGTAACGCATAACCTAAACTTTCAACGTTACATCTAATAGATTGCTGAGCTTAAAAAATATTATTAAAATTTTGAAGAAAGAAAAATCAATGTTAATGTAATAAACATAAAAATGTGATGGACTTTTTAGACCAATCTTTCAAATTTAGAGGCTAAAGTGCAATTTTTTTAAACTTAGAAGAATTTTGAAGATTAACCATGTAAATTTAAAGAAAGAACCATATAATGTTTATATTACTGGTTACTATATCAAGTTGATAAAGAATCGTTCTCAAAAAAAAAAAAAAAAGTTTGATAAAGACTTACGTACAATGCAACAAATTAATGAACCTAAAATTTTTTTCTTAGAAAAAAAAACAAGAAATTCCAGGCATTAATTTAATATGTATTTATATTTTTGTGATATATTTTATTTGAAAAAATATGTTTATTTTAGGCTATTTGTGTAAATGCATAAAAAAAAAAGAAAAAGAACCAATGACAATATTATATATGTAGCATCACATAAAAATCTTAGTTTTATAGATAATAATTTTATTTTAGATGTCAAAAAAATATATATTTTTTTTAATTTTAAGCTAATTTGCAATAAGATTAACTCTTAAAGAAAGTGAAGTATGAGATTTGAGATTTAAGATAGTATTGAGATGGTAGGTAGAAAAGGTCCATCATAATTTTATAGGTAAAACGAGCATAACTCAGCTGTAATTGGTATATACCTCCAACTAAGAAACACCAAATCACCAAATCTTTCTATGTTCTTTCTTTCCCAGACCGCCAGTCCATAGCAACAAAAAGATCAAATAAATCTTTAGGAAGGACTTCCCAAAACCATCAAAATGATTGCAGTGTTGTAGGTAATTCAGTTCGATATTTTAAAATTAAGATGGAAACTTTCAAAATATCAAAGATAAAATTGATAATGGTGTAATATTGAGGGAAGAAAACAAAAGTTTTGAAAGTAACTAGGATATTTTTTGTTCAATTTTGTACAAAAACCACACTAAGTATTTAAATATAATAAGTTATAAATTAAATTTAAAAATATGATTGTTTAAATGTGAGGGAAGCAACGAATTTGTTAAGATGGCAAAGAGGCAAAAGAGTAGTATAGGTAACTCGTACAAATCTAAATATAATTTAAACTAATTCCAATCTTGTGGATAGATTACAAGATCAAGAGGTAGAAAACTTCAACAAATTAATCTTACTACTTCGTGTTTAAGTGTTGATGAACTCTCGACATGAGAATTAAAGGAAGATGGGACAACAAGTTATGCATTCTAAATGTTTTTAAGGATAGTCAAAATCAGTTCATTCAATACAATAAAGTCAACTCATTCAATTCAAATTTCAAATCAAACACTCGCATCTCTGTGGACGAGATTGTAATTTATTTTGTTGGCACTCCATTTTCTTAGTATTTTCTTTTTCTTGTACTCTCATTTATAGTTATGTCTTTTCGTTCCTAGTAAGTTATGTTTTTTTTTTTTCGTAAATTAGAAATCTTTTCATTTACTTCAGTCTTTTCACATGGCATACTAGGATAACTATATACAGTATCGAGGTTCCTTTTTAGACACAATTGAAGCTGAATGAAAAGTTAGTTTTATCATTAGCTTGGTTGAGAGTTTCGTCTCTTATTTTTGTGCAAATGGTGTTGATCATACTTCTTATAGAGTGATTCAAATCACGAATTTATAAATGAGTTTTCTCTACTATTGATATTGATCGTTAAGGTAATCGATTCTAGAACTTTTCCTTTGATTGGTTCTAATATCATTTTGAAGTTTTTTAGTTTGTGATCTAAAGGTCTTATTATTATTATTTTTTTTGAAACAATCTAAAGGTCTTATCCGTAGGTTATTAAACATATTTATTTAAGATAAGCTATTAGTATTTAATTAAATTAAATTGCAAACTAATTGTAATTAACCTAATCAAACCAAATCAAATCTAAGATGGAGGTGAAGAGAAACAAGAAGGTATGGGTGGGGACAAACTAAATATAATTAGTTAATTATTTAGTATTTAATATTTAAATAATTAAACAAATAATTATATTTGATTTGTTAATTAAACATAGTCTAAAATTTAATTGACCTAAATAATATTTAATATTTATAATTTAATTAAATAATTAGTTTTATATTTAATTTGGTAGTAAAATAGTAGACAACTTAAATTTTCATGATTTGGAGTTAGTTCAAATTATCTTAGTAAGACCAGTTAATAGATCATACCAAAGTCAATCCAAACTAGATCAACTATGGATAAGAATGCGATGTATGTTTTAACAACCTTGTTTTTACTATTCTTAACGAAATTATTTGCTAATAATATCGGGTTTAGAACTACGACAATGTAAAAATTTATTGTGTGTAGCAATTAACGTGAGCCTTCGTCGTCAAAACATAAATCCAAATTAGTGCATCGATATTTTAAAATTTAGTTTCAAAATAATTATATTTAAATAATGAATTGATTATTTTACAATATAAAAATATCGGGTTTAGAACTACGACAATGTAAAAATTTATTGTGTGTAGCAATTAACGTGAGCCTTCGTGTCAAAACATAAATCCAAATTAGTGCATCACTATTTTAAAATTTAGTTTCAAAATAATTATATTTAAATAATGAATTGATTATTTTACAATATAAAAAGTCATAATATAAGATCCTACTTACTTAATGAGAATTAATAATAAACAAAATCAACCAGAATGAAAATGTTATTCATTCCATGTTAATTACTATAAATTTTATAGAATCGAAATCAAAATTCTTTTGATGTTGTTTACTAAAACTGTTTGAAATCGGAATCGTAATCATATACATAAAAGTTACTAGTCTACCGATTTATTATTTTTAGCTAATTATAAACACATTAATGTATTACTATATTATTGATAGCAAATATTTGTTATCATTAAACATTTATTTAATATTAATAAATAATAAATAATTAAAATAAAATTCAATCGAACTAAAATACTTTGAAGAAGAGTAATTTAATATAAAATATTATTCAAATTAATTATTCTAATATTTAATAATAATAAATTATATTTTAAAAATTTTATTAATATTAATTAAAAACAACAAAGTAAAATAAAAAAATTAGATATAAATTTATAATATTTTATAATAAAATCACATCAACTCATAAAAGTGGTATACGTTTTTATTGAAAGAAAAATTATTAGTAGTATAAATGAAAAAATAATAATAAACGTATAAAACAATTAATTTAAAAGGTTACAGGTCTCACTGATGCACCTGAAACGATAAAAGTAGTAAAGTAATTGTTATAAATGTGTTAGGTACACTGAATAAGGAATAAAAATGTGATTGATGAGACTGTATGGATGAATGAGACCGACCTCATGAGGTGGGTCCCACGATTTGATTTCATTCATGAAAAAATAATGTTTTGGTGGTGTTTACCATAAATTTTCTAGAATTAGAATCATGATTCTTTCAATATTGTTTACTAAAACGGTGTGGAATCGAAATAGGAATCAGATATATAAAAATTACCAATATACCAATTTCTTATTTATTGTTAATTACAAATACATTGTTGTGTGTTAAATTTTTTTAATTAAAATAATAATAATCAAAGCGAGCATAGCTCAATAATAATAACAATAAAATTTATTTTATTTTATTATTGATAGATAATATTTGTATTATAACAATTTAATTAAATTAAAAAATTATTAATAATTAAAATAAAATTACATCTACTAAATTAATACTATAAATTTGTATAAATGAAAAAGAAATAATAAAAGTATAAAAAACAGGAATATGGAAAAGGAATCTACTCAAAGTTCGTTTGCCGGGAGTCCATCAAAACCTAAAAAAATGGTAAATAATAACTTAAAATACGAATAACAAAACTGTGAAGAATAGTAAACGAAGGTTTATCAGATTTCACGACAGTTGCAGAGAATCGAGAAGAAGAAAACCTACAAGATCGAAGCTGTGGTTCGCATGGGACTGCAGTTTTTGGCATTGTACCCGAGGAATGTCAAGAGAATGAGCAGCGTGAGCTCGATTTCGACGACCTAATTCAACAGACAGCGGAGCAACGTCGGCACGACCATGCGTGGTCGGCGTTGGTGCGGCCAGAATGTTTGAACTCTGAAGAATGGTGAATAGAAATTGAGGATTCTGTGGAGCAAGGGGGATACATTGAAGATGATTGTTTCTTGCCGGAGAGGAGGAGAATAGCTGAAATTAGGGTGGGATTATTGGTTCCGGAGAGTCGAGGGCGACGAACGGAGCGTTTGGGCACAAGGTGAGTGATGAAAGTTTTGTATTCAGAATGGTTAATAGCTATTAGTGATGTAATTGAGGTTGGCGCTGGGATGGAATGCTGTCATTCAGGTGATGTTGAAGAAATTTCGGTTGTGAGTGGCAAATTTAGCTGATGGGGATTTGAATTTTACTACTCTAGCAATTTGGGGAACGTTCATGCATAGGCAAATATTGGAGTAAAGCTTGGAAGGCTATCGACAGTTTCAGTATTTATTTATCTTTATAAAATCTTTCAACAGTAATATTAGCCTATGCGTTAATTTTCCAATTTAATTTCTGTTTCCTATTAGAAACACCTTTACCAGAAACTACATCAAGTTTGAGCTCTGAAACCGAAGATTTGGATGGTGATATCATTAGTAGCTCTGCAACTGTAGGGATGAAGTTATCAAACCTGGATGACAAGGTGCATAACCATGTCACCGGAGATTCCGAGCAGGATAAGGAGATTGTACGGGAAATAACGGACTCTTTTATGAAAACATGCGAGAAAGAACTTCAGAAAAGTGGGTCAAAAAATCATAAGGAAAATAAAGAGGCCTTAAACATGGAGCCTGAGATTGAGACTGGTCAGGTTCAAGATAATAGATCAAGTACAGGGACTGATGCTAACGATATTATGACAGAAGAAGTTAGTTGTAAACCACCTCAGAAGCCCTCGGTAGAGTTAGATGATGAAGATGCTATTTGTACGCGCACAAGGGCTCGCTATTCACTTGCTAATTTCACACTTGATGAACTGGAAAATTTTCTACAAGAAACTGATGATGAGGATGACCTTCAAAACGTTGACGATGAAGAAGAGTATAGGAAATTTCTTGTTGCAGTGTTGCAGGATGGAGATGGTGGTAGCAAAAGTCAAGGAAATGCGACTGTCGAAGATGAGGATGAGGATAATGATGCTGACTTTGAGATTGAACTTGAAGAGGCACTTGAGAGTGATGTTGATGAAATTACAAGGGATTTAACCCAAAAGGAGAATAACAGAGCTGTAAGACGACCAGAAACCAGACAGAACAAGCGCTTAAAAGCCTCTGTTCAAAATGGCAAAAGACATTTAGGACTGGCAAAGCGGCCCTTGCGGCCACTCTTGCCAATTTTGCCAAATGAACCTATAACTTCTTTTTCCAGTCACGATGGAAAAACCATGGCAACTTGGAACGCTCATACTTGTCGGTCTTCTGTGAATAAAGATAACTTAATAAATGGTTTCACGCCAAACCAAATAGGCCAGTTATACTATTTGATTCATGAGCATGTTCAACTTCTCATTCAAGTATTTTCCATATGTATATGTGATTCTTCTCGACAACATATAGCCTCCCAGGTACATGGTTTAATCTCGGAGATGCTTCACAATCGCAATGAAGTATTGGCATGGAAAAAGAATCCATTTCCTAGCATTTGCTTTGACTTTCCAAGTGTTTATTCGTCAATTCCAGATGAAGTACCCAATAGTTTCCCGGTGCAAAGAACATTGCTATCAAATAATTTTTGCAATGGACATGTGGTGTGCTCTGCTCAACAAACCTATCAAAGGGTCGGATCACAAACAAGTGATAAAGGGCGTGATTCTGTTTCTAGTAGACAGGTGATTGAAGGCTCAAGTTGGGCACCATTTGTAAGTGGGCCAGTACTATCTACACTGGATGTAGCTCCTCTACACTTATCTGGAAGCTATTTGGATAATGTTTATAATGGTAAAACATTTATTCTCAAGTGCTCTATGATGTTTAGTTAAATGTTGTCTCAAGTTTTAAATGCTATGAAAGTCTTCTGATGTTTTTAATTAATTTATTATTGGGTTGGAAATGCATGTCAGTTATTCAAGAATATAGAAGACGTCGTTTGGAATCAACATCAGATACACCCTTAGAAAGAGAACCCCTTTTCCCCCTCCCAAGTCTTCATGCATTTCCTGGAGTTAATTGTGAAGTTTTACCTGAAAACATTTCCTCATCTGTCAACACAAAAGCACTTTCTCCCAGTCAACAGCCACCTAAGAAGACATTGGCAGCCACACTCGTTGAAAGCACCAAGAAGCAGTCTGTTGCCATGGTTCTAAAGGAAATTGCAAAGTTGGCCCAGCAGTTCTTTCCTTTATTCAACCCAGCATTATTTCCTCATAAGCCACCCCCTGCCGCTGTGGTAAATCGGGTTCTTTTTACTGATGCAGAGGATGAGTGAGTTACTTTCTATCCAATGGAATTTAATTTCTTTCTCTTATATTATAATTTTTCTCTCTCCTAATATCGCTCACTTTTTTGCTTCACTTCACCGGTTGCTGCTTTTCATTACCTAGAATGCCAATGCTTTAGGATAATATTAATGATAATTTTTTGCTCCCTCTCATTCCATGAGGAAATATAAACATAAATTATATAGATATTATATTACTATGATTATTTTTTTTATCAACACCAGTGAGTGGGGGTATTTGTTACCCACTAGTTTGTAGGGTCAATATATTGTCACCCTCTTTGTGAAGTTTATACTTTTTTTTTTTAACAAGAAACGAACTTCTCATTGAAAAAATAAAGGGAACTAACAGTGTTCAAAGGAAACAAACTCCAAAAAGGAGCGAAAGGAAAAGATAATACAAAGCTTTGAAAGGACTACCACTTCTAACAACAAATAAAATAACTAAGAAAATCAGAAATACAGTCAATGACCCTTGAGTTGTGAAACCATGAACCGAAAATAGCAAACAAGATCACTAGATGAAAGTCTTCAATCTATAAAAAACTTCTCCCATCAAAAGCAATAAACTAAAAATGAGCCATTCCAAGAAATCCCATCTTCAAAAAATCAACCACTGCTGCATTAATCAAACTTTTGCAAGGTTGGGAAAATGAGAAAGATCTTCAAGAATTTCTAAATTATCTTCTTTGATAGAGGAATATTGTCTTGAAAGGTAGTAAAACCTATTAATCAGCCTTTTTTTGGGTCAATTCGGGTTTAAGATGTGGGGATCCTGAAGGATGTCATGTACATAATTCTGGAGGCAGGAATATGGCCATTTGGGTAGTTCTTTTGAAAACTTTGTTTTAGGCTGTATCATTTGTAATTATATGTGATCTTCACTGTTTAAAGTTATCATATTTTAGTTATCTATCTTGGCAGAAGATTATGATTTTAAATGAATAAATGAACATTGCAAATATTTGTAAAAATCCTAAATCTGTAAATTCACACAAGGATGACGTCCTATGCATGTCATTAACTCATTGTCCATCTCCATGTCTGTTGTTAATAGTAATACCTATGCAGGTTATTAGCCCTAGGATTGATGGAATATAATACAGATTGGAAAGCTATTCAACAGCGATTCCTTCCTTGCAAGTCTAGGCATCAGGTAGGTTCATACTATAAATTGAATCTTTTCCTTTTCTTCTAACGTTCGTGTTTGGGGGAGAGTTGCATTGCTGGTTGTGATATGGATAGTCATTGAAGACACTTCTCTAGGTTTAAAGAATTTGAAATGGTTATGAGTGCGACTGAATTAGAATTGTTGGTTGTTTTTGTGACTCGATACTATAGTTACCTGTTTGTCCAAAGTAGTAAGTATGAAAATACATTTTCCTCTGGTGATAAGGATGAAAATACACATCTAGCATTATTTGAGATTTGCTATGACAGAGCTGAATATTCTTTTAGTAGTGTGGTATTGAATTATGTTTTTTCTCCTATTAGTGCGATATATTTCTTTTGCATGAGTCCTTCTATATCAGTATTTTTCTTGATTTTCTTCTATTCACGTTGCAGATTTTTGTTAGGCAGAAAAATCGATGCTCATCAAAAGCACCAGAAAATCCAATCAAGGTATGTTACTACCTTTCGTTGGGGAATTTGATGTAAGCTTCTTTCTGCAATTTTTTTTTTTAATTTTTTATTTTTTGGGAATGAAACTTCAATTTCATTGATGAGTTTTCTCCGCAACTTATCTAGATGTTAAAAGAAGTTACACTCTTAGTTCTCCTTGATTGTTTAAGTCCTTGCATCTCTTCCTTGTGTTCTGCAACTGTCCCATATAGTGCATAGATTATAGACTTTCTAGCATTTTCTGTTGCTCTATCTCTCTCTCTATTTTTGTAACTATGGTTTTTTGTGCAATCCCATCTATTGGGTTGATTGCTTCCAATCTTTTTGTACTCTTATGCTTTAGTGAAAGTTGCTCCTGTTTCCTATCAAAGTTAAAGGAAAAAAATCGTAGATTCTAGAAAATTAGAGAACCTGTTTTGGATATATAAATGCCTAGCCTTTTATTTATTTGGGATAGAAAACAAATATTTGATCGATGATATAGATATGAAATATTACAGATGGGAAACTCTATCCAACAGGTCTTATCAAAGAGAGTAACAAAAAGGTGCCTCACCTTTTTGTTACTCTCTTTGATAAGACCTGTTGGATTTTAAGTGGCCCAATTTCTTTGACATATAAATAAATGTTATGCCAGACGAAAGAAACAAATGAACCATACAGGACACATTTACACCAAGAAAGCGACTTTTGGTTTAGTTATTTGATTTCTTGGGGTTTCTATATGGATGCTCTCTCAAAGATCTTTTATAATTATTCTATTTTGATATTCAAGTCAATTGGAGAGTATTGTAGCTAATTGGGAAGTTTCTTCTTTCCGTCTTTTATTAGTTTTCTTTGTTGAATGACATCTTAGTTTCTTTTCTTAAAAAAATAAAGGATTAAAAGTTGATTTCGATAATTCCTTCTTGCAGGCAGTTCGGAGGATGAAGACATCACCTTTGACTGTGGAAGAGATAACACGCATTCAGGAGGTTATTGACCAGAAAATTTGCTGACTTTTAATTTTTATTGTTTTGCATTTGATAAATGTCTGTTTAACTTAACGGATGACCTAATTTCTCAGGGACTTAAAATTTACAAATCTGACTGGATGTCTGTATGGCAATATGTTGTCCCCTATAGGGATCCCTCATTACTACCGCGGCAATGGCGCATTGCCCTTGGGATTCAGAAGTCTTATAAACAAGATCCAGAAAAAAAAGAGAAGCGTCGTTTGTACGAATCAACACGAAGAAAGCTGAAGGCTGCAAATCTTGTAAGTTGGTCTTGTTCTTCTGGACGAGAGGGGTTTTTTTTTTCTGTCTCTGAAACGATTTACAGAAACGACTCATCCACTAGTTGCCATTATTTAAAGTCCTGAAGAGTTTCAAGATTTTATGGAGATCTTGATGCTTAGTGAAAAGTAGTGCAGTGTGGACTATAGATGCCAATTTGGTAGATGATATCCATCGATGGCCTTTTCAAATGCATAATAATTACATAAAACAATGTCATGTCATGATCCTTAGGACACTGATTTCTTTCAGTGTTGAAAAAATAAAAATAAATATTAAGCCTCATGAATGCTGCGTGAATGTCTGCCAGTAAATGTTTGATATAAACAACTTCCATTGAAGAAAAAATTGCATGAAAGTCGGCGGATAAGGTATTCAACCTAACCAATTTAAGGGAGATACTGGCAACACTCTCCTGGCTCTAAATATAGAGGGAGAGTTATGACAAAATAGACTTTACTGAGGGCAGGAGGCACTAAAAGAAATAAGATCCCAATACTTCCCAAAACTCTCTTCCTTTAAAAGTTTTATTTCTTTCAAGCCATTTTCCCAAGTGTTTACCTAGGAACACTTCAATCCAAAGGGCTTTACCTTTGTCTATGAATGGGTGTCCCACAAGCATTTGTAAGATATATAAAGCCTTTGATATCCCTAGAAAATATTGCCTCAAAGCTTAAGTAATTCATCATCTTTCTTCCTCCAACAATTCAACTTGAAAGAGCATGAAAGAATAGGGTGATAACATCTTACTCATCCTTAACAAATAGTGTGACTTTAAGGACAGAAGCGCATACTTGTTGATACTGCCCTAAATGAGGGCCACAAGAACACCTTGATATTTGTTAGTACATTTGGCACTCTACAAAATATTGCACAACTTTATAGGAACAGCTTCTACCCTAGTTGAGAGGTCAAAAGGCAAAGATTTTGCCTGTAAGGCCTGTCAATAAATTAAAAGTTGGCATTAATCATTAGATTATATAAGATTTACCTGTAGGGCAGGCCTGTCAATAAATTAAAAGTTGGTATTAATCATTAGATTATATAAGATTTGCCTGTAGGGCAGGCCTATCAATAAATTATAAGTTGGTACTATCCATTAGACTATATATACTTAATATCAAGCTGAAAATGCATGCATGCTTGCTATACTATTAGATAGTTTACACCCACTTTACACCATATAGTTTCACCCAAAGTTTATCATATGAGGTGTACTCCTGAATTTTTTAAGTATGAGTTAATAGATTTATGGGTATGGGAGTTTGTTCGCTAATGATTCAAGTTTTTTTATTTTGATGTTTTTGCAGGATTCTGAATCTGAAAATACTGGCAGGATAAATAATAGCAGATGTGGGAACGTGGATAATGATGGTACTCCTTTTGTAAATGAGGCTTTCGTTGCAGATTGGAGACCAGGTACATCCAGTGGACTTTCTTGCTCAAACCTCACTGACGGTAACCTTCCTTCTGATATATTACCACAAAAGGATATCCAGAGCAGAGAACAAAGTAACAAATCTGAATCCGGAGACATGCAAATCCAGAAAAAAAATGTTCATTGGTTTTCTTCTGGATCAAAGTATTCAGAGCCTCCATCATCTATTTCAACCACAACTAGACATGTAACATCCAATACTAATGCACAGAATCTCGGAGTTTCAGATGTAAAAGCAAATGCTTCAAATTCCCCAATCTACTCTAGGAATTACCGCGCTCGTAAATGTAATAGTTCACATCTGGTCAAACTAGCTCCAGACCTTCCGCCTGTAAATCTTCCTCCATCAGTTCGTGTAGTTCCCCAGTCATTTTTCAAAGGATCCATGTTTGGAGCACCAGGAAAGGCTTTTGTGGCCAAAAGTAGTAATGATAAAGAAATTTCTCAAGTGGCTGATACAGTCAGTGGCAGGCTGAACAAAAGCAATCCATTAAATGACACAAACAATAGCATCCCGTTGATGGAAGATGCTTATAAATTAAACGTGGAAGAATGCAGAGCTAACAATGATAAATCAACTGAGGGAGAAAGAGGCACTGATTCTGATCTTCATATGCATCCTTTACTATTCCGGGCCTCTGATGATGGATCTGTGCCTTATTACCCCTTAAATTGTAGCTCTGGTTCATCTGATTCTTTCAGTTTCTTCTCAGGAAACCAGCCTCAGTTGAATCTCAGTCTATTTTATAATCCACAGCCAGAATACCATATAGGTTTTGAAAAATTATTGAAGTCAAAGAAATTCACTTCTTCATCACGTGGCATTGACTTCCATCCTCTCCTGCAAAGAACTGATGATATAAACCAGGTAAATATGGCTGCACATTTAGATGCTTTTGTATCATGTTCAGGGGGCAGATCTCCTAATGCTCATGACATATTTGGTGCTCTACAGAATCAACCTTCGGTTAGTAACGGAAAGTTTACTAGGGGTACTGAACCCACCAAGCATGGTGATAAGACCTATGGTTTGGATTTAGAGATGCATCTTAGTTCAACATCCAACAAAGAGACCGTTCCAGGGAATAGAGTATTCACTGCACATGATCAGTTGAAATCAACAGCAGCTGCTCGAAATTCAGAAGCATTAGAGAACCTACACAATAGTCACTTGCATGTTGAAACATGTCAAAGAACCAATGATAAGGGCAGTCTTGTTTCTGATGCTCATCCCCTGGTTCTACTGTCTGTGGACAATAGCAGTGATGATGTGGATGAACATTCTCATCCAGGTATCATAATGGAACAGGAAGAATTAAGTGACACCGATGAAGAAGTTGAAGAAAATGTAGAGTTTGAGTGTGAGGAGATGGCTGACTCTGAAGGAGAGGATGGATCTGACTGTGAACCGAGTACTGATTTGCAACATAAGGTAATCTACTCGTGTTAATGTTTATGATATATTTTTAAAAATGATTGATAATATATTTTTATCCTCTAGTTGTTTAGGCATATATTGATCAGTTGATCAGTTGATCAGTTGTAGATTCTTACTAACAGTGAGTTGTGATCTTTCAAACATGCGTTTCAATATAGAGACACTATTGACTGGCATGAATTTTACAGCTTATGGGAACTTTTCAATGGCCACATTATCAGTTTCTGGTAACTTGTTTATAGACTCGCTGGGGAGAGGGTTTTGTCAGGGAAGGTCAAGCTTAGTTGTTCACTAATTCTGCTATACTGGTTCATTACGTCTTTGTCCCTGAGATAAACATTGTAGTGGTTATTATTTCCTTCCATTTTGTTTTCAGAAACTCATATCTCTTCTTTCTAGTTGCATCTTTCAAGTGACAATCTGATCTTCAATCATACTGCATTTAGGCTTTTGATCGTGTCAATGGATTTTTCTTAGGCGATGCCATATTTTGGTTTCCCATACTGAGGGCTCAAATCTAGTTTTTCCTTGGTTTATAAAATATAAATGTGATTCTTACAAAAAAAAAAAGTGATAATATACTTGGTTAACAATTAAATTAAGGGAACGATAGCTTATCATAATAGCATTTGCACATCATTGATGCTATTAAAAGTAAAATCAGGCATGCGAAAATAATTAGCAAAAAATGTTGGATATAATTATTGTATTTCTATGAATTTGCTACTGCTCCAAACCCAAACCTGCTTCTAGTTGAAGCTTCTCAGGTCTAGTTTGCTTGATCGAAAATCCTACCAATCATAGTTTTATCATTCTAGCTCGTCCAATTGAATCTTCTTAGCCCTAGTCCTTTTGATGTATTATCACCGTCACTCGATCCAAACCCAAACCTACTTCAAATGATTCACGACAAAGACAAACAAATAGTAAAAAAGGTATATATATTGCTTCTATTCATAGCGAATGGTAAGTGGACTCTCATTCAATCCAAATGTTGCTTATCATTCTATAATAGTTTTTGGATAGAGATGTTCTTCTCCTTGCCCAAATATAATACATTAAATCTGATAATTTTGTTTTTAGAGGGATATTCAAAGTGCAGGCTAAGTTTGTACGGAGTGGTGGAGAAAATTTTCATTTCCATTGCAGAGAACTCATGATCAGAATCATAACCGAGTTGGTTTGCCATTTCTCTCGGAGTTGCTTTATATGACTCTGCTAAGCATTTGTTTGAGAAATTCGATGCAATTTGGAGACCTGAAAGTAATTTACAATGTGAGTATTTCTACTCTCTTAGATTACAATCAGATTTTACTCTGTTTCAATCTTCTCCTCACACATTTTTCTTATTAAAAAAAATAAAAGCTTATATTTTCATCTAGTTTGTTTCTTGTTTAAATTAAAAAAAAAGAAAAGGAAAAACCTTCTCCTCACGCTTTTGACTTCTAATCAACCCTTTTCCTGGAGAATGTGCTCTGAGCAGTGAACTTTTACTGACTTTTACTTCTGTAAAAGTGCCATTATTCTTTAAAAGTGCTCTTATGCATTAAATACTCTTATTTTTTTGCTTAAATTATAATAATTTCAACAATCTTCTCTTTAGAACTCACATTGGTCGATTTTTCACTGCTTGGTTGCATGTTGAATTTTTACATCAAGAATGGCACTAATACATTGTATTTTTACTGCTATGTTTCTCCTAAATGCTTTTCCTTAAACTTCCTTCTCATCTTTGGCAACTAACTGGATGCAAATTATTTTCTAGAAACATGCTATATGTTATTTTTTAAATAAATCTTCCTTGGTGTTTGATTATATTCGCTAAAAAGACGAGATGAAATTTAGAAGTAATAAACTTATCTCAAGCTCCAATGCTTCTAAAGTGAAGGCATTTCAATAAGAACACATTCCCGAGCTTCTAATTCTAATCTAATAACATGACACAATTCCATACTCAAGTTTCTTAAGCATTTATATTCTTAGCTAAAATTTGCTCTGAAACTTTTAAGTAACTTTGAGTTGATTATAATCAAATAAAGTTCAATATTGTTTGGTTAAACTTAGGCTTGCACAACTAAAAAATTAAAGAACCATTTGTAGTCAGTCTAAAATTAGTACTAAATTAGTTATTAATTTTTAACTAATCGTATTGATGTATTGTCTTGCTCTTGTATGTAATACCAAAAACACTGGAGATACTTATAAATGAGACAATTGGGTATTCTCCTATTGCTGATGGTAGTGAAAATTCTTATCTTGCATATTATTATAATTTTGATAGGTTGTTCACTCCTGGAGATCAGTTTCCAATTTTGAAGATACGAAGAAGCTGAAATATGCTACACGTGGAGCTAATTAAGTAGAGGGTATTACTATTTTTTATTTTTTAATTCAATTTATTCTGATCGATGTGATTCCATGTGATGATATTGTGTGGCTTTCTCCTCCTATTGCAGTCCTTGGCACTTTCCCACAGCCACCAGTGATATGCTTGGGAAGTACACAATACAAAGGTTAGTACCATATTTGTTGTTAAATTTTCTATAGTTAGCTAGAAATGATTCAAGAAACCTTTTTTTCTTGCCTCCAGTCTTGGTAACCCTTTTATGTAGTTTCAATGTTTTGACAAACTTTTTTTTTTTTGGAAAGGAACAGTTTTATTGATGATATGAAATTACAAGCTATTAAGCTCTACACTTTTACCCTTTTTACATTTCTTTATAATTTGTCCAGAGCATCGAAGTGCACTGGATAGTTATACATTGGTCGTTTCATTTTAATACAAAGGGTAAAGAAGAAAGTGGATTCTTTTTATAAGCTTTACAAATAAGCCCTGTTAATCTATAATAGTTTGAATTGGAAGCCGAAAAATATGGTGGTTCTAAATGCCGTTGAATATGTATTAAATTGCATTTAACCATCATAGGTTGGCCTAGTGATTAGTAAGGGATAGTGTAAATAGTAAACGGTTTTAATTTGATAGTCTGTATTTTTGAGTTTCCAAACGACTATGATTTTAAGAGGAAGCTGTGGTAACTTTTTGCATCATTATTTTATAGCGCTCTTTGTTACTACCATACAAAACATCTCTGTTTCTGAAACGTTAACTTTTTTTGAGAAAAAAGAAATAACACTGTAATAGCACACCATTGAAAATTTTCTTCTGCATTTGCCATAGTTAGTATTATGCAAATGGTACGTAAAATCTTATGACTTTCCCCAAAATGGCTTCCATGATGTTATTAGTAGAAATGCTATAGAAAGTTGACCATAACGGCCTTTTCAATGTTATCTTATCGTATGTCTTCGTTACGTTGCTTTATGATCTTTTTACCAAAACTTTTCTTTTGGGGAGAAGGATACATACTTTTATTTCATTATTGACTGAAATTGGAAGCTCTTTAATGGTCTAAAAGACTGCTTCCTTCGTTTGTAGGACTCAAAACTTGTCAATGGAAGAAGATTAAACAGATACTACACCTCGTGATGATGCAAGTAACAGGTAATGGTCCAGTTTAGATTCAAATACGCCAGTGACCAGATTGTTCTTTACATTCAAATCTCGGTCGGACTTACAAGTCAGTACCACCACACCATTCGAAATGCAGCTTCTTCCCACCCCATCGATCCTGCAAGAAAGTAAACCCAGGTAACGCAGACATTCTAAAGGATGGGGCTCTACAGCTTACTTTTCAGCCTCGCAAATTATTGAGAATGAGTTTCTGTTCACCATCTAACCATGGGAAACTTGCTCGCATGGTTCTGGCTAGGGACATTCGCTCTCGAGAGATCCTTTGAATCAACCAGGGGATGAATCCAACCTCACCATCGGATCGATAGGAGAACGTAACCAAGACGAGGAACAAGGGTATATCAGATCACTCCCATAACCAAATTCCTATAAAATATGAAGGTTAAAGAATCATACAATGTTTTGTATGCTTAATTTGTCTTCATTGTTTCCAGTCTTTGATGATCCATAAATGTTTGAGATAAAGTTGCTGAGAGCCCTATTTTCTTCCCTTCCCCCCTTCCTTTTGTCAATATTTTTGAAATTATATTACTTTTGACATTTTTAAAAAGTGCGTTAAAAACTACAAAAAATCTTGATAGGTTTTCTGGGCCCACCAAATTGAAACAAAATATTTTTGAACGAGAGTATGCCTTTTTTTTTATATTTTATTTTTATAATTCGTTGACAGGTAATATGTGTTCTATGAACTTTGTGTAGAAAGGATTGACAATATGAGCTTGGTGATGAACTTTATGTTAGTTTTTCATTATATTTAATGCTTTATTGACAAAGAACAGAATGGATAAAAAAAATGGAAGTAGAATATTTTTCTTTATAAGTAGCTTCATATGTCACAAATGGTAAATTACACTATGAAAATTAGGAATTTAACAAATGAAAAAATTAATCAGCTTAATATTTGAATATGTTTGCATATATTGCACGTGCATATTTTTACAATAAATATAGGAAAAAGAGATGAGAGAGAAAATGAAGAGTAGGAGAGAGAGAGCATGTTTTTCACATGATGAAGGCTTGGAGGCTTGCATTTAGTTTTTTTGGGTTTCCTATTGCTTACAATTTTTTTTTTAATAAAAACTTTGTTGACTAAATATATTTACTATTTGATTATCTCTCTCTCTCTCTCTCTCTATATATATATATATTTTCAAAATGTATTTGTTTCTAATCTGTGTATGGCTACTTAATTATTAAATTTTAAAATGTTCCAATTACATTTCAATACTTATTTACACTAATTAATGTAGCACATACATAATTCTTAATTATTGAAATTTGAATGAGGTGACATGATCTGAATTTAAAATTTTGATTTTGCAGGGGTAAATTCATAAACATTAAGTAATTTGCTATAAAAATTTGACTTGCCCATTAATTTTTAATTTATCCAATTGAGGTACTAAAAAAAATTTATCCAAGTGAGATCTCGTTGTCTCATTCAAATTTAAAATGTGACATCTACGTTTTGCAAACTAGTGTTCATATGTTTTTTTTTGTTCGTTTTTAATTTATCCCTATCTCTTGCGTTTTAACATCTTTCAACTATATCTTTTTTGTTGATCAATTGTGAAATTGGTTGATGATCAAAATTTACCTACATAATACTGAATGAGCTGATGGAAATTTAGGAAAGATGTCACCTAAGATAGGAAAATTTCTAACGCATTGTTCAAATTTATAAAAAGTGGTAGAAATTCTGATCTTTCTTTCCAAGGTAGTTCTCCTCGAGATATATATATAAATATATATTTGTATATTTATTAAGTATCACGCTAGATCTGTTTACCATCAATTAATTTTAATATTCTAACAACAAAAATGTATAATATTAGGACTAACTCAAAAATTTTAAACAATAAGGACAAAATTAAAAAAAGAATATCTTAATATTAGAATTTTTTTTAAACGGCTCTAAATATTAGAAATTAAAACACGTATTTAGTCGAAATAAAATTTAAAAATTTAGTGAAGTACTCATGTGAGTAAAACATTACTCAAAAGTTTTTTAAAAATATAACATTATTGAATGGATCGTATCTAATAATCACTTTATTTCTAAATAAAACAATTAATAACTCTACTTAATAATTAATTAAACTATTAATTCAACAAAAAGAGAAAAAAAAAGGGAAACGGAAAGGATCGCCAAAGAGGAGGCAAGCAGAAAAATATGGAAATGCGGAACATCGATGTGGAATAACACACGATCGCCACGTGTACATTTGGATGTAATTAATTAATTATAAAAGAAAATAAAATCACATGAGACGAAAACACAAAAAAAATAAAAAAAACTACAGAGATTGATCCCAAAAAAAAAAAAAGAAAAAAACACCGAAGCTCAAGGTGGGTGGGTGGTGCGAATTTCAGGGCTCTCTCTCTCTCTCCTCTCTCTCTCTCTCTCCTCTCTCTCTCTCTCTCTCTAACTTTCTCTGCCATTTCGTTGCGAATCCACCTGTAGATCTGTAAGTTATTATGTGTTTTGTGCTAGAATTCGTAGTTTTTGCGTTTCACACAATGCGTTGAATTCTAGTGGATATTTAGGTTTGTGTTTTATTATTAATTTTTTTCGGTAATACTTGTAATTGATTCGTCGTTGCTTGATTGGGGAGGATTTGAAGAACCCAGATCTTGCTGGTTTTAGGGCTGGATGTGTTGGATCGGAGCTTGCGTACTTGGGGGAAGTGGTTTCGAGGTGCATTTGATCGTTTAGGTGCTGGATCTCTTGGTGTATGCTGCGATTGTAGCTGTAATTGAATTGATTGAGGTGTGAATTCGGAAGTGTTTTCGGGTTCTCTAGTGGGAAAACGGTGTGAATTTGGGCGGGGGTTATTAGGCGTTGGATTTAGGGTTTAAAAGATGGCTTCCAATCCTCCTCCATTTCAGGTGGAGGATCAAACGGATGAAGATTTCTTTGATAAATTGGTGGAAGATGAATTTGTGGGACCCGAGGATTCTGGATCCAAGTTCTTCGATGGGAGTGATTCTGATGATGCCAAGGCGTTTGCCAACCTGAGTATTAATGATTCGGACAATACAATCAAGGATTCCGATGGTGACCGTGGGCATGAAGCTATAGGGGAGAAGGGTGCGGTGGAGGCTGATCCAGGAGCATTGGGAGCGCATGCAGAAGTGAAGGCTTCTTCTCTGGTTTCGTCTAATTCTGTTGGGTGCTTTAGTGTGTTGGAATCAGGAAATGATGGTGTTGGATCGGAATCAACCTCAGATTCGTTTGTGTGCAAGAGTGATGAATCTGGCGGTCCGGCAATAAAGGAGGTAGGATGGAGTTCGTTTCATGCTGATTCATCGCAGAATTGGGGGCAGGGGTTTGGATCGTATTCAGATTTTTTCAATGATTTGGATAATAATGATGCAGGGAGTCTCGGTGTGTCCTCGGAGGATCATCTGAATGGTGCAGCATCAATTAAATCTAGTGCAGACGAGAACTATGCAAATAACTCTGTTAATTATGTGCAGTATCAAAACGATCATCAAGTTTATGAAGGATCTACAGATCAAATTCCGGCTGGGCAGGATTTAAGTAGCAGTCAGCAGTGGGAAAATCTCTATCCAGGGTGGAAGTACGATTCGGTTACTGGACAATGGTGTCAGGTCGAGGGCTCTGCTGCAGCAGAAAATGTCCAAGGTACGTTTGGCACCAATTTGAACAGTGAATGGTCTGACGTTTCTGGCACAAAAACAGAGGTTGCTTATTCACAAACTGCTCAGCCTGCTGTAGGCACTGTAACCGAGGCTAGCACGACAGATATTGTTTCTAACTTTAATCAGGTATCACAAGGAAATACTGGGTACCCTGAACATATGTATTTTGATCCTCAATACCCTGGTTGGTATTACGACACAATTGCTCAAGTATGGTGCTCCTTGGAATCTTATAATTCATCAATTAAATCGACTAACGAAGCTCATATTCAGCATAATCAAAATGGGTATCTATCAGCTAATAGCTATAATTATAGCGACAGTAGTATGTATAGCGACAATGTGCAACCTAATGAATATGGGTCAAGAGGTGTTCATACTCAAGGCCTAGATGACAAATTGGCAGGGTCTTACCACAACGAAAATCAACAGAGTTTGACTAGTTGGCAAACTGAAAGTGTTTCATCTCAGGCTGCCCCAACTTTTGGTGGAAACCAGCTACTGGATAGGTCTTCTAGTCCTGAGTTTTCTGCAAGAAAAGACCAGCAAAAGTCTGTTAATTCTTTTGGAACAGCTCCATCATATTTCCAACCAAGTCAGGGTCGTAATGAGGTCAATGGACCTGCCAGCTTAAATAGCTTTGCCTCAACTATGGATTATGGTCATCAGTTTCATCAGGAAAATTCCAAGGAACATGAACATATGCCTCTATCGAATGACTATTATAGCAATCAGAAACACGTGACGGATATCCAACAGTCCTTTCACGGAGGTCATCAGTCTTCTTATGCTTCAAATATTGGAAGATCTTCTGCTGGACGTCCTCCACATGCATTGGTAACATTTGGATTTGGTGGTAAACTTGTAGTGGTGAAAGATAGCAGCTCATTTGGAAACTCAAATTATGGAAATCAGGTTAGCATTTCTGTCCATTTCCTTTCGGTTGCTTATTGACTAATAAGGGGAAAATATTATGTTGCAAGTGTTGGTTTTGAGTATTTTAGTTATAGATAGATATATACCACATGATCAAAATAAGATGCCTCACTATGTGCTTCTTCAAATTAAATATTTTCAGATTTATTCATTTTGATGCACTAATTTAATCTGATATGTTAACTTTGTTACTTGTGAAGGGTCCTGTTGGAGGCACAATTTCTGTCATGAACTTGATGGAAGTTGTCATGGGTAACACCAAGGCCAATGCCATTAACAATGATGTTGGTGCATGCAATTACTTCAGTGCTCTCTGCCAACAATCCTTTCCTGGTCCATTGGTTGGTGGAAGCGTGGGGAATAAAGAGTTGCAGAAATGGATTGATGAAAGGATTGTGAATTGTGATTCGTCAGGAATGGATTACAGCAGAAAAGGCGAAGTATTGAGGCTGCTTCTTAATTTGCTTAAAATAGGATACCAGCATTACGGGAAGCTTAGATCACCATTTGGGACAGACACCATGTTGAGGGTAACTCACTCCCCTCACCCCCACCCCGAATATTGTGTATTTGATGATATGGCAGGTTTTATCTTTGTTTATACTTAAATTTAGATGGTTATAAATTTACATCTTAAAAAGTAATATATATGAAAGTAATAAAAAGAAACAGAAGCCAAATGAGGGGTTAAGATATCTCCCCGAGTGGTAGGCCACGGAGTTCATAAAAAAGTCCTTTAAATTTGTCTCAAAGATCACTTGTAGGAGATATATCCTCAAGTATGACTCATGACATGCATGTTTGTGTCAAGTCACGCTGACTATTGTGGGGTTGGAGACTTCTTGTGGTGTGTTATGCCAATTTTACTTGTAAAAAGTTATTTATCAATTTCTATTTCCAAGTCTTTAATATTTAATTTTTTTTTTCTACTTTCCATTTTCAGACTTCTCACGTAGCTTTCCATATCTATTGCTCTTGCTTTGTACCAATATATGTGCGTCCAGAGGATTTATTTAAAACAGCACTATGTGAACTAGTATATATTTATTTAATTCTTGCTTGAATTAGAAGGCAAATTTCTCATGCAGACCTCTTTCTCATGGGGTTTTCCTTAAATTTTCTTTGGTTGATTTTCAAATTACCGTTGCACCTTTCTGAGCTATCCTCACAATGTGCCCATCAACTTCTTCTTAAATAAACACTTGAGGTCCATGGCATTTAATCCTAATTTTTATTTGCATTTTTAACAGGAAAGCGATAGTCCAGAATCAGCAGTTGCCAATCTTTTTGCTTCTGCCAAGAAAAGTAGTGTTGAATTCAATAATTATCGTGCTCTTAGCCACTGCTTGCAAATATTGCCTTCTGAAGGACAAATGAGGGTATTAATTCATAATCCTCCCATTCTTAAAAATCCACGATAACGACATTGAAATAAGATTCAATTCACTGGCTTCTGAGTGGATGTAACATTTATTGGTGATTGTTCTAGGCCACTGCTTCTGAGGTTCAGACTCTTCTGGTATCTGGTAGAAAGAAAGAGGCTTTGCAATGTGCACAAGAAGGTCAATTATGGGGACCTGCCCTTGTTCTTGCTTCACAACTTGGTGACCAGGTTTGTTTTGCTGTTCTTCTGTGGATTTTGTATTTGTGACCTATCCTTCGTACTCATCTTGGATTCTCAAATTCATCAAATTTGGTGAAACCTCTGTTTTTTTGAACTCTTAATTATGTATAGCGGGCATCTTGAATTTTTGCAGTTTTACATTGATACTGTAAAGCAAATGGCTCTTAAGCAGCTGGTACCTGGATCACCTTTGCGGACTTTGTGCCTGCTTATAGCTGGGCAACCTGCAGAGGTCTTTTCTACAGATATAACGTCTAACATCAATCCTCTGGGTGGTAGCATGGCTCAAAATTCTTCACAGGTGATGTAGGGTCGGGATGATTTGCATAGTAAAATATATTCAGCATTGTTGCTGGAATGACTTATCTTTCAACTCAACTATGGTGGCTATATGGATACCCTTTCTTTTTCTTTTTTCTTTTTCCTTTTTTCCTTTTTTCCTTGAAAAAATGGAAACTAACTCGAATAATGGGAGAACATTCTTAGTGACGGAATGCTAGAATTGTTGAAATGATTGATTTTTTTTATTAGCTTTTCAGGATACGTGATGTAATACTTTTTGGGTACATTCTGCCTTACGAAACTCATGTGTTGTTCTCTGGGTCATATTCACAGTTTTCTGCAAATAGTATGCTGGATGATTGGGAAGAAAATCTAGCAGTGATAACTGCCAACAGGACAAAAGATGATGAACTTGTAATTATTCATCTTGGAGACTCCTTATGGAAGGAAAGGAGTGAGGTTAGATTATTTCTTCAAAAGCCTTGTGGTTGATGTTCTATCGAAAATGTTTTAGAACCTGAATTTTGCGGGGTAATATTTTCAGATAACTGCTGCTCACATTTGCTATTTGGTTGCGGAAGCAAACTTCGAGTCATATTCCGACAGTGCTAGGCTCTGTCTTATTGGAGCTGATCACTGGAAATTTCCTCGAACCTATGCTAACCCTGAGGCTATCCAGGTATTCATTAGACATATTCTATGAAGCATGAACAGTCAAACACATAAGTCAGGTAACCTGTTTTGTCGCACTTGTCAGGCACGTCAAACAAATGAGTATTTGTTATACACTTGTTAAGCAATTAACACGTGTGGATACTTATAAACATACGAAAGAGAATTATTAGACACATGAACTAAAGTGTTAAAACTTTATCTCTTTCATTTATTTTAAAAAATAGATGTAAAATGAAACATAAATAATCAATAATAAATTTTGAGGGTAAAATACACCAAACTTGTTTTTTAATATAATTATGCAAGCTTATTTACTTCAAAATTTCTTTTTGTATAAAGATAATATGTGTTTAAAAAAAACATTTCCTTCCCGTCCTTGTCATATTCGTGTCTCAAATTTTTAGAAAATACCATGTCCCCATGTCCTAATGTGCATATCATGTTGTGTGCTTCTTTGGATGAATTTATTTTCTGATTTATTTCTTACAATGTTGGGAGGATTCCCTCTGCCCTAGGCCCCTAGCATATTCTGTATGCCTGAAAATTTTCCTTGTGTATCATACCAAAGCTGTTCCACAATTATTCCTAGCAGTCCTCTGTGCTTCTACGCACTTCTATCCTTCTATTATTTTGGTAAATCACTTTAGACATTCATACAGAATTTACTTTTCTGTATCTGGACAGAGAACTGAATTGTACGAATACTCCAAAGTTCTTGGAAACTCTCAGTTTATCCTTCTACCATTTCAGCCATATAAGCTTATATATGCATACATGTTAGCGGAAGTGGGGAAAGTTTCAGACTCATTGAAGTAAGTGCCTTTACTGGTTTTGCATGTTTTTTTTCTTCTGGATAAGAATTATAGATCAGATAAGAAAATAAATTATTAAAAAAATGGAATTTCGATCCTCTTAGTCTCTACAACCAACCGAAGGAGATCATGTGAAAATGCTCTCCAATGGTTTGAATCAGGAAAAGAAAACTCTTTGTTTATGAAAAATCATCTAGAAGCTTAAAATTTAAAAAGGAAACGAATTCTTCAATTTTACTTAAAAGCACCTTGAGGTCCATCACTTAAAAATTCTAACGTTTCTTTCCAGCCTAGTACCTTGGAAAACTGAGAAGTCCATTCATAATGTTTTAATAAAGAATTTTAGCCTTTTGTCAAAAGTGTGCCCGAATGACAACTGAAGAATACTTGCATATTCTGCTGATAAAAGTAGGACACAATTAAATATTTTAAAACCGAATTACCGGCATCTTTTAGTCCTTTGACAGTGTGGCCAAATAGATTATTGAGATTCCTTATAGTTATGAGAAACAATTTGATTTTGTATTAACCTCATGTTTTAACAAATTCAGCAAACATATGATTACTCTGGAATTTGGATCAGGTACTGCCAGGCAGTTTTGAAATCACTTAAAACGGGTCGTGCACCCGAAGTTGAAACGTGGAAGCAGTTACTGTTTTCTCTCGATGAGAGGATTAGAGCCTATCAACAGGTATTCATCTTGTTTTTTGTATCCTCGCTTTAAAAATAAACTGTTTACAGCAGTTTAACAAATGTTCCTACAATTTGCATACAACTTCCAGGGTGGATATACAGCAAATTTGGCCCCTGGAAAATTAGTCGGAAAATTGCTTAACTTTTTTGACAGTACTGCACATCGTGTTGTCGGGGGCTTACCACCTCCTGCACCATCAACAACCTCACATGGCAATGTTCATGGCAATGAACATTTTCATGAATCAGTAGGCCCAAGGGTATCAACTAGTCAATCAACAATGGCAATGTCATCGTTGATGCCATCTGCTTCAATGGAGCCCATAAGTGAGTGGACTGCTGATAGCAGCAAGATGACAGCTTCAAACAGGAGTGTTTCAGAGCCAGATTTTGGCAGAACTCCAAGACAGGTGTGATGTTTGTGATCTTTATTTTTCCTCTGTCGCTGCTGAAAAAATTATTATGGACCAGATCAATTGACCAATTCTATTATTTTCAATAGAATCATGTCAGTTCTTCAAAGGAATCAATGTCAGCTGACGGTCAAGGCAAAACATCAGATTCAAGAACATCTCGTTTCACTCGTTTTGGTTTCGGTTCACAATTGTTGCAAAAGACTGTTGGATTAGTCTTGAGGCCTCGCCCAGGTCGCCAGGTTGTTAGTCATATCAAGATTTTTGTAGCTTTTTCTCATGAGATCCTCGTTTTCTCTCAATCTGGTTGTGGATATTTTTTCAACAGCCAACTAAATTTGTTTTCCTTCTGGGTTGTGTTACTGAAGGCCAAATTGGGTGAGAAGAACAAATTTTACTATGATGAAAAGCTGAAGAGATGGGTCGAGGAAGGTGTTGAAACTCCGGCTGAAGAGCCAGCCCTGCCACCACCTCCTACAACTGCAACATTTCAGAACGGTGGGATAGATTACAATTTGAGATCTGCACTAAAGAAAGAAGCACCACCATCCAATGATGGAAATGCAGAGTTTTCAAGTCCCAATCCTACTCCTCCAGAAAGTATTTCCGGAATCCCCCCTATCCCACCCAGTTCAAATCAATTCTCAGCTCGAGGACGGATGGGCGTTCGTTCAAGGTACTACTTGAAATTTTTAATATGTGATTTCATTAAGTGGAACATTTTTCTCGTTGCAACATTCAATGGTCTCCTTGAAACTTCTATTTATTTATTTATTATTATTATTATTTCTTTTCTCTTTTTTTTTTGTGCAAGAAATTGAGCTTTCAGATTCATGAAACTAACCAATGAATGTATAGTTAAAGGAATGCTTTGGGAAAACTGTCGGGCTTTGTATTCACCTTGAGTACACAGCTTTGCACTAGAAATGCAGGTTCTTCATAGATAATCAATTGGACGTTTGGCCTGTAGGAATTGAAATGGGATTATTAGGAATGTGAATGCTTATGTTTGGAGTGTTGTAGGAATGAAGTATAGATGTCTAATAATGTGCAAGTAGTAGTATGGTTTGTGGGAACAAGTTTGGTAACATATTGTTTCGTGATTGGTTTTTGGCGGTTTCTGATTCCCAGGTACTGGCTGTCTTGCACGAACGCCGAGTCGGTGACGCAGATTATGTATTTATTTTTGCCAATAGAGTTATATACTACACCGATTAGTGTGAGACTTCGAGATGGTGTGGTTGGTCTATTTGGGATTTACTTGCTATTAGTTGCATTTTCAAGATAATTTATTTGGGCATACTGATTTCCAACAAAAGTATTGAAATCAAAGGAATAAGGGACTGTGACTGAATTTAATTTCTCGTGGCTAGCTATTGCTTTCTTAGTTTCTGTTAAAAGTCATCTTTTTAGTCCTTGAATGAAGAACATGATCTAAACCGTGCTGGCTCTTGTGGTTTTATTAGGTATGTTGACACCTTCAACCAAGGGAACGCGAGCTCGGCAAACTTGTTTCAATCGCCTTCGCCTTCTATTCCGTCAATTAAACCAAAGGTTGCTGCCAATGCAAAATTTTTCGTTCCAAGTCCCGCATTGTCAGCCGAACCAACAGAGGAGACTATACCGGAATGCTCACCGGAAGACACCACAACCAATGAACATCCTTCAACATCCACCACAAATGAGTCATTTCATACTCCCTCCGCAACCATGCCCATGCAAAGGTTCCCTAGCATGGGAAACATCTCAGTCAAGGCTGCAATTAAAAGCAGCAAGGCATTAACAGTTAACTCACGACGAACTGCATCATGGAGTGGTGGAAACTTCAGTGATGCTCTTAGCCCCCCTCCTAAACCAGTGGGAGTTAGACCTTTAGGTGAAGCACTGGGTATGCCCCCACCATCTTTTGTGCCTACCGAACCGCCCTCGGTTCATGGTCCGATGAATGGAGGTGGCGGTAGCATGGGAGATGAACTCCATGAGGTGGAACTTTAAGTAGCTAACATGTAAATACCAAGTTTTGTTCCGTAGTCGATCCACACAGATACATGCATTGGTCGCTCCTGCATCTCTCCCGTGTAATAGGGCGGTCGTCGTATGCGCCAAAATATAGAGTTCATTAAAGCAAGTCCTCAGCAAGGACATGCCCTTTTTGTTTTCTCTGAAATTTCTTTGTTCCCTTTCCCAACACCCTGAAATTTGTGAACAAATATAGTCGCGACAATTTCTTTCTGTATGCTTATGGTTAGATGTCAGTTCATTTGATTCTCCTAGGAAGTTTCCAACGTTCGATACTTCTGGAGCTGCTATTTTACATTAAACCAAACACACAAGGCCTTTATTGGCACCCATTGTACAGTTCATTTGTTTATTTTTTTTTTCCCTTCGTTTTCTCAGAAACTAGAAAATGGGCCCTCAAGGTGCTTCAAATTGAACATCATAAAGATGGAAAAATGTACTGAAATTGTGAAGAATAAGATGATTTGCTTCTTGCGCTTTTTACCAACTTTTAGTTCAATAATTTTAGTGATTGAGAGTGACTAGTCCCATGAGTTCTTCTCAATTGCAGAAGACACTTAAAAACATAATCATCTGGTGCACAGGTACAATCGTTGAAGTTTCGGAAGTTTAGTTTGATTGGTGATCTGAAAATATAAATCTAAAAGTTATAGATTAATAGAGATGTATTTCACGTTTTAAGTATTTTCTAATGTATTTGGTAGCAAAATTGAAAATTTAATCTCAATTTGAAGAATTGTTTTGGGTGTATTTATGTTTTACATGTTTTAATTAGAAATGAGTTTATAACATAAAATAGTACTTTTATCAAAGTTCTTATATTTTTTAATGTTAATTCTAAATTTAAAAGGTGAAAGTACAAAATATAATTTTTAAAAAAAATCACATTTTCGGTATTTAGATCACTAAATCTAAAAACGAACTCATTTGATCCGATAAATCTGAAATAAGAAATAAAATTCGAATGGTATACCAAACAAGTCCTTACTTTTCCAATGGCAACTAGGGTTGAAAATTTTACACATGTTTGCAGTGGAGAGTTCCTTGAGCTTTGATTCATCGTTGAAGGATGAGACATTTTTGAAGTGAGTGATTAATTGTATGTATGTGGAAAATAAGTCAATTTTGGCCTTGCAGAAGATTTTTCCAAAAAGGATGCTTGTTTTAAGGAGTTCTCTAACTTGTTTTGTCATTTTGCTTAAGTTTTCCTTTGACTGTTTTATAGATAAGAGCACACTTTTCAGTAAAAATAAATATAATAATATAAGCTCAATCAATAGTTTGGCAAAGAAAAAGGGCTTGTTTCAATCCATTAGAAGGCCTACATGAAGAACATTTTATTACAATGTATACAATAAATACAACACAAATTTCTAGTCTTCAACCCTTAAACAGAATTGAAATACAGAGATGAAGAGCAGGAAGAACAAGCTCCATAAGGGGGGATGTTAAAATAAAAGAATTAAATTAAGATCTTGTTGATGAACAATTTTGTCATTAAAATTCTGCAGAGCCAGGCGAGCGCGGAAATGGAATGGCATCTCTTATATTATCTATTCCAGTGACAAACTGCACAAGCCTTTCAAATCCCAAACCAAAGCCAGCATGAGGAACTGTAACACATTAAGCTTGATTATTTCAAGGCACTGGAGTGAAATAAGTACAATGAGAAATTGGTTAAAATCGTCAAATGAATCAAATAATGCTATAATCTCTTAGCTGTAAACTTGGATACAATCATCCAAGAATATTGTATTCACTCGTTCAAATATTTTGTGATTAATGAACACAGCAGTTTGGATAGGTTCAGTCTCGCAGACATTCTATTTCTAGGAACTGCCTAAATCTTTTCGCCTAAAAGAGAATAAGGTCGTTTTGAAGATTGAAGAATTTTTTCATGCTTTTTTTTCTATCTGCTATCTGGAGAGATCGTTCTGAGGGTTTTTTTTCAATTGGCCTCTTCGAGATGTTGAGTCTGAGGATTTGTATTATTTTCTTTAGCCTAAAAGTGTTCTTTAGCCTTCTGGCATTTTTTCTTCCAAGTTTCTTTTTGGCCATCTCATTCCACATCTAATCCTCATCTCCCACCCTTCTTTCGATCTTAATATGGAAGGCAAAAATTTCAAAGATCAAGTTTTCTTCTTGGTTAGTTTCTTTGGGGAGGTTAAAAACCATCAACTTTGTCCATATCTTCTTCCATGGTTCTGGATCCTAGTGGTGCACCATGTGTAGACAAGA